CTGTATGTGTTCAGTACAGATGCAATTTCCTTCAAATATTTTAAGATATCCTGAATATTTTCCAACATTTCAGTTAATTGAATCCCCAATCATGGAGCATTTTCAAAAAAAGAAGAGACACATTTGTAGGTTCTAAAGGGAGAAACAAGATTCTCCATCCTAAGAAGGTGTTCTGATGGTTCCCAAAGGCACTAAGTGTTGACCTACAGCATCCAGGATAACCCAGAATTATCATCACACTCAGTCTCTCGGGGGGAAGGGACATGCCTGTGCTATTCATTATCTCATGCAAATGAAATACAATAGTAATAGCTTCTTGGTTCAGAGACTAAAATGTGTGTTTTCTATAAAGTGAAGAGGTTTATTTAATTGCCTTGATTGCTAATATGTCTATTCCTTATCAGCTTCATTGAATATCTACTACTCAACAAATACTTGATGTATATTAACTGATGTGTATTAATTAGGAAAGCACTTGAAACACTGTCTACTGCCCCCTTAGTGGTGTTTCATCTCTGCTCCATGCACATTATGCCTCTCATTAACACAAAATGCAAATTTACTGAAAGGAATATTGATCCCAGAATTGCACTCTGGAGTCTTACCAGGTTTTCTAATGGAAATGTTCTTTATCAAGAAAGGAGATCTGATTAAATCCCAGACCTTTATGTTTGTTTGAATGTCCTAGAAGGATTCATATCCTACACTCAAATTAAATCATGCATTAATGAAGTATCTGAGGAAAAAAAATCTGAAACATTTTTACTTGGTCATTTCATGCAAGTGTACCTTCAAATCTGTGCTATTTGCATCTTCATAAAATTTTCTTGCTGTTTCTACAACTTCTTTCTCAATATTTTCTTGACTGGTGCCCTTTGTCAATGTAGTGGCAATCAGCACTGACAAAATGGCAGGAAATTGCCTGTGCAGAGTGAACATTGTTAATGGAGAAAAGCATCTCATAAGTGTCAAGAACAAAGCAAGGAATTCTTCTTGCAGAAAGTAATTATTACACACAGATTTGACTTCTAACCTGCAAGCCCCCATCCCTGGCATCCAAATTGTCTACCTTGTAGGTCAGCCTCTCCCTCCTGCCCCCTAGCTAAATGCTAATTAAGGAACTATAAAAAACTTTTACCTAGCTATGATTATATTTTTGAAAGGTATGAGACAATGGCATAATTGCCTAA